GGAGAAATGCTCTTTTTCTTTCTCTTGGGGAGGGGGGAGGGAAATTGGTAAATGAGAAGAAATGTCAAGCAAAAGCTAGGTAAACTCTAGTTAATTATCAGCGTACCTCCAGAGTTGACGTGTAATCAGGAAAAGTCAGAGTCAAGGACCCCCGATCCCCCAAGAGACCAGAAGCTACGAGAAGATTCTGTGGTCTTTTTAGCTTCATTTCAGTGACTAGCAATTTATCGAGTTCAGGGTCCACATTCCACAAGTGCAAAATAGACAAGCTAAACTGAAGCAGGCATTGTTCAAGCAAGAACATCCATTCAGGACCTCTTGCAGCTTCATTGGAGGTACCACCAATTTCATCATTGATTCTCTCATCACTGGAACTAGGGACTCCATTTTCCTGATCCCTGAAATCACTCCTCTTAATGGGAGACTCAACCCTTATTTCTTTCACTTGGTTTTTACCAGGATTGGAACTCTCTGCTCTATAGTACTCATGTGTCTGACATAGAGACATCAAGGACGTTAGATCAAAAGACAGAGCGGCAACTCCAGGAAAAGGACAAGAGCCTCTAACAGGCTGTTTTCTGCTTTGCAAGGCAAACAATGCAGATTGATTAGATCCCGTAGTACTTCCAGACACGCTTGTACTAACAGATATATTTGATAAAGAAGTACCCTTTCCCAGAGTTTGTGAATGAGATGGTGGATACTTGGTTTCTTCACTAATNCCTTTAACAGGCTGTTTTCTGCTTTGCAAGGCAAACAATGCAGATTGATTAGATCCCGTAGTACTTCCAGACACACTTGTACTAACAGATATATTTGATAAAGAAGTACCCTTTCCCAGAGTTTGTGAATGAGATGGTGGATACTTGGTTTCTTCACTAACAGGAAAAAGCAATGAGGAAGCCGAAGTATTTCCACTTATCCTACTGCCATGAGGGAGATCTCTGTCAATTCCTATGCAGAAATGTTCAAACATTGAGAGAGCAGCAGCTCCGCGAAGGACCCGCTCACGAGCACCTGATTTTACATCCCAAATGAACAAAACATCTGCATCAGATGTTCCTGTTTGGTTTGGACACAGACATGCTATGTATCCTCTTCTACTATCCCACACAACTTTTGCGGGATAATATGGGTGGCCAGGGAACATTCGCTCTACACGCACGGTATCAAGTGAAGAAAGGGCAACACATGAGTCTTCCCCAACAGAGAGGAAGCAATTAGTCCATGGACATTCTGTTTGAGATGGCGGAAGAATTATTTGGCGAACTGGAGCAACATGTTGGTGCATTACAATCATGGGACTGCTAGAGTCAAGATCCCATACACGGACAGTACAATCCATACTTCCTGAGAGTAGAACATAACTGTAGCTACCTCCTTGACATCTAATCAGCACTCGCTGTGCAGCCAAACACAGTACAGCGCCTGTATGCCCCAAGAGATAATGTTGAGTGGCATGTGCTTTTGACTCAGGATATGGATTTTGACCAGGACAATCTAATCCTTCAAAGAACATATCAAATCGAACAACTTTTATATCACCGTTATAGAACCCATATACAATAGCCAAAGGCACATATTCTTCAGAAATAACCATTGAAGAAGACACTAGCTCTTTTCTTTCATAAGTTCCATTTTTAGTGATGTTTGATATACTTTCATCAATAGCTTTAGAACAAGTACCAGCATCTTGGGAGGAAGTTATTTTGGCCTTCTCACCTGCTGTGTGTATATCAACAGCCTGCCCAACAATCTCATTTTCAGAGGCATACTGGTTATGAGTCCAATCATCAAATATTCTACCTTCACCTAAAAGTCTGCATTCTTGACAATTTATCTCATTTTTGTCCTGCAGCTTAGGCAGTACCCAACATGTCAGACGAGGTTTCCAAATCAATAATTCGTTGATAGGAAAAGAAATTGATTCAATGCGAAAAAGAAAGCTGTTCAGTTGCACAAAGGAGATAGAGAAGCTCATGCCAGACTCCTGACAAATGACAGGGATAGCTGCAAAAGGCTCATACTTGAAGATATTACTTGAGTAACATATCCTGTATACTATGGCCTCACCTTTACCATTCCATACAGCAAATTTTTCAATGAATGTGGCATCTGAATCTTCAGAATCAAGCAGATCGTTATCATCTCCAACAAACATGCCACCAATGACGTGCGACTTGCCTTCAATAGAGAGCAGATCATCTGAGAAAGATATCTCTCCCACGACACTTCTATCCTCTACTTGACTAAATATGCAGCATGTACCATATACAAAAGCTAAAATGGGCCCACGATTTGCAAAGGCCACCAGAAGTCCCCTGTCATTTGACCCATTTACCCAATTCATTTTGCCTGCATCAAACAAGCTACTCTTGGAGGTCATGCTTTCTGTGCTTGAATCACACTCCTTCAATATTGGTATACACTGTGCCTTACCAAAAGAATCAACCATCATCACTGACTCCGTCAATACATCTCCAAAGGACGAAATTACAGCCACAGATTTCAAAGGCCCAATGGATAAGCTCCCATGAAAAACTGTTTGGACGATACCAAGAGTATACGTATCAACAATAACAACTGTGCACTTTACCGGTTTAGCATGTTGTGAGTCTCTATCTGCTATTGCTTCACCCTTCTCAATAGAAACAGGCGAGTGATGATCGGATAAATGAACATGATCAAAGGAACAACAAGCTATACATACATATCTACGATTTTCGGGAAATGGTCGAATTAGGTATGGTGTCCCCACCCAGGGAGGCATTTTCCTTCTACGTCTGCATTGTCCACTGGCTCTGCTCCAAATGCACAACACACCATCAGTGCATGCACTTAATAATGCACCACAGTTAGATGAGTTAGAAGTTGATACCGCATTATTTGAATCGTCTAATTTCCCATCTCCCGAAACTGTAGTAGGAACACAAATCCCTAGATCGGCGATCGGAGCAACATGACCACAAAGCATGGCAACCGGTGTGATTTCCTGAGCCAAAAAAGAAATAAGAAAAAAAGAAGAGCTTATAAACTTAAACCATAACAAACACTACAACTAAGAAAAGATTATCACAATGATTTACTCCCACAATCCAAATTTGCTCATCTCTTTTCACTTACAAGCTCAATCAGATATTCCTTCATTTTCTTGAAAATAATGCAGATATAATGAGTTGGCAAGAAACGTCCTATATCGTACAATGTTCAAAATAACAGCATAATAATCAAAAGATCTCTTGGTTTAGCTCAAGGAAGCAAACTGTTAGTTTAATTTCTTGTAATAAAATATAGATATTTAAACAATTACTGGAGAAGTACTATAAGTTGCAATGTTCAGAAAGAATATGTTAAAATCACAAAGCTAAAATGGACCTACATTAATTCATTTTCCAAAATAAAATTTAGCTATTCAAAAACTACCCAATCAAGGGCGGACGTACAGTATAGGCTATGGGTTCAGCCACTGTATAGATGTTAAGAAATCTAATAAATATGTATAAATATTAAATTTCGAACCCAGTAAGTCAAATCGTCAGTAGTTCGGTAGCATCCCGAACCAATAAAGTTTCCCAATCAGCCTCTGACACTAATAGTAACGTAAGTTGCAATGTCCAGAAAGAATATGCTAAAAAATTCTCAATCAAAGATCTTTTTTCTTTAACTTACGGAAGCAAAATGGCACATCGCGCACAAGTGGTAATTAGCAACAGATGTAGCGTAGAGTATATCACAATTAGCTAATAACAAATACTGCTTCGTAATTGAACATAAATGTGATTTCAGTCGATAAAGCGTAAAGAAGATCGTAATTAGCTACGTCGTAATTGAGTTGAAATACGAGCAATAGATTTAAAAAATGCTAGATTTGAGGTATTGGCTACAGTTGGGAATACCTGAGAATTTAAAGGAGGCGGAAGTGATTTTTACCTGATTGGAGGTTGAGGAGGAGGAAGAGAGATTCCACCAGATGATGGAGCCATCGGAACCGCCGGTGTAGAGAGTGGGCGGATTGTTGAGTGCCGCGACGGCGGTGACTTTGTGAACCGGCGGTGAACCGGACCATATACACGCTATGGATTTACACTTCATCGACTGAATGTTCTGTAATTGAGGCTACACAATGTTTTAATTAGATTTTGGGTTTTGCAGAAAATGCGAGCGTATGATACCGATTGTAATTGTAATTAAATTAAAAAAGAATATCACCCTCAAATTAACCTCAGAACTTTTTACAATGGTCAACTATTGTTCTAATAAAAAGAACCTTTAATTCTTAGCAAAATTTTGGTTGGGCATTATTGGATAGTCCAGGGGGCAAAATGTCTTAATTGGACTCATAGACGATTTTTAATTCAATTAGTTCTTCTGTTGATCACACACACTGATTCATTTTCCTCCTCTTATTTTAAGGAAAAAATTGTGTTTACTGTTCGATAGTGAAATTATAATTGAAGAATTTTGAGGTGATTGAGAGTTCGTTTAACCTTATATTTGTTTGATTGTAGTTTATATTTGTTTGCTTGTAATTGAAATGTGCGCACAAGCTGATTCGGAGATTGAATTGATTTATAAAGAAAATAAAATTAAACTTTAAATTTTATCTAATTTAGAAATCCGATAGTGCCAACAAATAGTGTACTAACACTGTAACACATTTTGACCTGGGTAAATTCATTTTATTATGAGACAACTTCATATTTCAAAGATAAGTTCATTATTGACAGGCAAACCGTCCACAAACTTGTCCTCTATCTACTGACTGCAGGGAATTCGGATCCCTGGTCACTAATGGCCGGAAGCCTTCTCTGTCATTATTTCCAAATGAATCTGAAGTTGAAAACGGAGTTAATTTTAATGAAATAAATTTTTGAAAAAGTCAACGGAGTTAATTTTAATGAAATAAATTTTTGAAAAAGTTTTTACATAATCGCTCTGTGTATGTGATCATGAACACGCACGAAGAACATTAATAATGTCGCGGGGCTTCTGATTAGGCTCACTCAAGCTCAACCCATAATGGGGTAATCAAATATGCTCAATTACGCTCAACCCATCTATGCATGTTAGCACAAGCAAACATGGGGTAGTTAACCCTGGCCACGCGGCACTCACGCTCGGAGAGGTTAGCTACTTTTTTCATTCTTTTTTTTTCGTCAACAGACGAAATTATATTATATTAAAGCTGAGTGGCAAGGAGCATCGGGTATGCTTTGCAGATTATTACAAAAAGAAGTATTGTCCTGGCCATTAGAATGGTCCCTAGGAGGTGCTACACTATTACAGCCACTGTCATGTTCAATAAGACGAAAATACAATGTGTTTGCTGATGTACACATTGTTTTGTTTCGTAAGTAGATAATGCCTCGGTCGTCCATCAGTTGTTGGTTCAAAAAGGTTGGTGGTTGGTGGAGAACAAGAGTCTGCTCAGTTGAGTTTTGTGTGGCTCCATATTGTGCAAGTGCATCTGCAACACGATTCTGCTCCCTGTATGTGTGTGCGATACACAGATTACCCAGTTGACGTAGCAAGTACCTACGTTCCAGCAGCAATGATGAGTAGTGCAAATTATGGTTGTTCAACATAAATATTACCTCTATGGAATCCACGTTGATTTCTAATGGGATGAAGTGATAATGCCATGCTAATTGCAGTTCTTGTATTAGTGCACATAATTCCATGTATATGGACTTGCCTGTGGGTCTTTTGCCCATAAATCCAAGTATCTAGCTACCAGAATCGCTTCTAAAAAGTCCACCTATTCCATTTTTGGGGGTCTTCCTTTAGACGATCCGTTAGTATTTAGTTTAATAGCCTCATTTGTTGGTGGACGTCGTTTTACCTACATAGGTGTGGTGATTATTGCTTGTGTTTTTTCCTGGATAATATAGTAGTATTTAGCTGTTTGTGATATGTATTTTTTTGATGAATGTTCGGGGTGTGTGGTTGGCGCTCCATATATGCCATGTTGTATATAGAATTAATAATCGTAGTGGTAGATTGAGTGGTAGAGTATAGGTTGTATGGACGAGTGATTGAATGTTTTTAATAGGGTGAGCATTTGATATATTTATGTGGTTTATAGCATTTGTTAGGCCCAATTGGGCCCATATTCGTTGAACGTTTGGGCACTGGAAGAATAGACGATTGATTGTTCCATCACTTTTATAGGCAAATTGTACAAAGGTTAGAAGCGATGATATGTAATAAAAAGGAGTGGCAGTGGGTAGCCATTGGTGAGAAATTAACCACAGAAAACGAATTATTGTAGGTGGTAGTTTTAATTTCCAGATCTAAGTTGATGAGTAGTTATTATGTGTGCAAGCTAACTCTTTATAAAGAGATTTTACTGTAAAATATCCTGAAGAGGTAAGTCCCCATATTATTTGGTCGAAAGATTGTAGGTTAATTAGGGGTGGTACATATATTTGACGAATTAAGGTGAGAGTTTCTATAGGTAGGCCGAACGACAAATTTGTAATGTTGATTATATTGTTGGTTATATATTGACTGACTTAGGAACCATCTTCATTATTTAGTAGTAGACCTTCAATAACATTTCTAAGCGTGATGTTTCGTCCTAGCCAAGGTTAATTCCAAAAGTTAATAAGTTGACTCGTAGCAATGTGCCAAACAATTCCTATTTGGCAAAATTTCCAACCGAATTGGATGACGTAACGACCCGGCCAATTGTTTTGAGAATTTAAGCTCCGTTCGGTGGCGTAAGGTCTTAAACAGCATCATATTATATGTATCAACTTGCTTGTATGATTGAATTCAGTTACTGGATGATTCGGAGTCGAATTGGAAGAAAGATCCTAAATTTTGGAAACTTAAGCGATGAGAATTTGACTGAAATTTGACTTGTGTGTAAACGGCTCCGGAATGTGTTTTGGACGGTCTTAACAGCTTCTTATGGTGATTTTGAATTTAGGCGTGCGCTCGAATTTGGATTTGGAGATCCGTAGCGTAAATTGAAGCATTTCGGCGAAAGTTGGAAAAGTTGAAGTTTGGAAGATGGAGAGTGTGAGCACGTGATTTTTGCCTCACACGAATTACTCCAAAAGAATTCCCAAAATTAGGTCTTTTCTTTAATTATGTGTTATTTTAGGAATTATTGTGTGATTTTCCTGATTGTTTGCATATGTTTGTGTGCATGTTTAATTCTATTAACGCATTAAAAATACAAAAATATAGCATCTGCATTTAGAATTTGATTTTTACATTTTTTGGAATTAATTAATAATTAAGTGTTTACAAAAATAAAAAATTCAAAAAAAAAACATATTTTTGTATAATTTTTGTGATTTTCTTTTAATTTAGTATTTAATTATTTATGATAATTATTTAGAGTTAATTAATATTTTTTTAAGCTAATTTGGGTTTTTATAATTTCAATTTAGGATTTTTAGTTTTAATTTTTGAAAAAGGGGAAGGAAAGAAAAGGAAAAAAAGATAACTAAAGAGAAGTTTTGGTTTTGGGCCATTTGCTTTAAACCAAAACAGGCCCAAAACATTTTCCTTGATAAATCGTCCAAACTGGCCCAAAAACACGTCCAAAACCCGGTCCAGGAGGCCCCTCGCCCAGACTATTGAAACGACGTAGTATGGGAGAAAAACTACGTCGTTTCAGTGTCAACAAATCCCAACACTGTCTCCCACTTAACCAAAAGATGCTGTTTAAACGGCCTTTGATTTGAGCCGTTCATTCCCCCATATCCAACAGCTTAGAACCTCACCCACAACCTGACTCGTCCACTCAATGCCCAGTCCGTCCCAACACCCACTTAGTCAAAACGACCCCATTTGTGATTAGTGATTCAATCGGAGCCGTTGGATTCCAATTATCCAACGGCCCAAATTAAATCGCTAATATAATATACCCAAACCCTTACCCCTACCCCAAACCAAACCCCCTACCTCTTCATCTCTCACCATCTCTCAGAGACCCCCTTGTTAGCCCCGCCTGCCGAAAATCGCCTACGGCGACGTCCGACGTCCAAACACTACCAAATTTACACCCTTGATTCCTCTCCACCTCCCTATTCCAAATCCCAAACTATTTTCCTCGAATCTCATCCAAACCCTTCGAATATTAGTTCAAAATTCGACCCCGAACCTTAACTTACCCAATCACCCCCAAACTAACACCCCTTGACCACCACAACTCCCCCTTCCCTAATCCATAGCCAGCTTCCTTCGAATATGGCCCAATCTACTCGAATCTTAAAAACAAGGGTTCGAGTCTTAAAAGCCAAAATCCAAAAAAATTGATGCTCCAGTTCCTCATAGGTTTAGGACCGATTTTATCACAAAATAAGGTTATTCACTTGTTCTTGACAAAGAAAAAGTGATTGACCTTATTTGGTGATTTAAATCAGAGGGTCAGTTACAAGGTCAATTCGAGCAGGTGAGTTCTTTCCTGTTTTTTTTTTGTTAAATTTTATTCTGATTGTCCATCTCTTCCTCGTTTCTTTTATTTTCTATGGTTGAATTCAGTTGAAATTCGACCATATCCGCGGTTCAGAATGTGTTCTATTGTTTCATTTGCTTTGTGAATAGGTTCTTTGTTTCATTAATTGTGTTTTCAATGTGTTTAAATTTCTAGAGTCACATCTTAGTCAATGTAATTGGCATTTATTTGAAAATTCANTGAGAATTCGGGCAGTTTCTTGTTCAATTGTGTAAATAATCAATTTGATTACTGTAAGTTAATCCTCAAAAACTATTTAAGTTGTCACCTAACTTGAGAAGCTTCTAAATGGGTGGTAGGGTAGAAATTGCATTACTGAATTAATTAAAAGCACTAAACTAGTGGATAATTAAGAAATAAAAAGTGGAACTGATAGTGGTGAATGCACTAAGTTGAACGCTTATAAATAGATACTGAGTTCATACACAAGGAGGAGGAGAACATATTCTGAAAATACTGAAAAATACATATTTTTAAGAGCTAAGAAGTGAGGAAAATCAGAACGGCTGAAAAACTTTAGAAAAAAAAACACTGTTTCATTGAGTCCTTTGGTGACTTCTGAAATTTTCTGAGTGTTGAAAAATTCCTGGTTAAATGACAGTTGAAATGGATTAAGATCAATTCTGGTTTGAGGTTTTCTAGTTCACTATTTAGACTGAAATTGTTTGCTGGGATATCTTACTTCATTTTCTGGTTTGAGCTGGTCTAACTAGTTGATTCTGCTATCCTGCTGTTTCCGGCTGATATCTCATTTTGTTGGTTTTTGTTTGCTCAATATCA